TAAAATATTAAAAAAAAAAATATACGATTATGGGTAAATCAATCTTATTAGAAGTTATGTATTCCTATACAGAATGTCATGCATTCCTATACCGAATGAAAAATCATATGATCGCACTAAGTTCCTAAGTGCACTAATACACCTTCACCAAACTACAATGCAGAACTCACAATACTGGGTTGCACAACCAGCACACCTGAATGAAGAACCGTACTAGTTACTACCCAAACATGTGTACATATACACCAACATCCAAATAAAGACAATATTATACTCAAAAGAACGAGCGAAAAAATGACCGCTTTCCATTGACGAACATCAATCGTTATGCTCTGGAACGTGCATGCTGGACACGGGTAACAGTGCCGTTAGGCACTGTTATCTCTTTTTTTTTTTTTTTTTTTTTTTTTTAATTTCAGATTCGTTATAGGAGTATATGTTCATAATTTTATTACTATATGTTCATAATTGTAAGTTCATAATGTTCATAATTCAATAAGTGTACATTCATACTTCCATAACTTTACATTCATAATTTCGTAACTGTATATTCATAATTCAATAATTGTAACTTCATAATTTTCGAAGCTCTATGTTCACAATTTTAGAGCTCTATGTTCATAATTTTATCACTATATGTTCATATTGTAAGTTCATAATGTCAGAGCTTTGTGTTCATAATTGCATAATTGTACATTCATAATTCCGTAACTGTACATTCATAATTCAATAACTGTAAAATCATAATTTTTGAAGCTCCATGTTCACAATTTTAGAGCTCTATGTTCATAATTTTATCACTATATGTTCATAATTGTAAGTTAATAATGTCAGAATTCTGTATTTATAATTTTACAACTTACATTCATAACGTCATAACTGTACATTCATAATGCCATAACTATACATTCATAATCCCATAACTGTACATTCATAATGGCACAAACGAATAACGCCGAGACAAAATATTTAAAAAAAAAAATTAACTGGAATGACGCGTTTTTCTTAA